CCCAGCTCTTACATTCACCAGCGGGTGGATGCTGCAGCCTACCAAGGGAGTCCCCAGAGTTCCCTTAGCAGGTTCATTCCCATTCTCTTGCACATGCTGGTGGGTGCTTCAGCCCAGCTTGACACAGCCCACCCACAGTCTCAGCTCTTGCTGGTAGGTGTTACAGCTTAGCCCAGCTTGGCATGGCCCACACTCTGCCCTGACTCTTGTGCGTGCCAGTGGGTGCTGCAGTCTGGTCCTGTCCAACCTGTCCCCAGACTCAAACTCCTTACCTGGCCTGACCCACCTCCAAACCAGACTCTATCGCTCCCTAGCAGAGCTGTGGGTTAGTAAGGGAAGTCCCCAAGTTCTTCTACCAGGCCCACTCCCAGACCCAGATGTCATGTGTGTTGGGAATTCTGTGGCGTTGCTTTGCAATCTGCTCTCAGTCCTGGACTTTGCATGTGCTGCTGGGTACCACAGCTAGGGGCAGTCCAGCCTCCTCCCAGCTCTAGCTCCCCTGAGTGTCAGGTGAGCTCCTATCTGGTAAGTACCGTGGTCCAGCCTGGCTCATTCCATTACCACTCCCAGCTCTTGAACTCCCTTACCAGTGGCCTGGTCTGTGGAAGCTCCCAGAAGTCACTCCTTCTCTGACATGCCCTCAGCCACTCCCACACCAATACCACCCCAGACTTCCTTCCCCAGACAATCTGCAGCCCTCCCCCACCCTTGGGACCAGGGTGGTATGTCCTGGCCCGGTATTCCCCGCCTTCTTCACATAACTTTAAAGAGAGAGAGAGGGAAATGACTTGGTGCAGTAGCCTAGTGGATAAAGTCCTTGACTTGCAAAGAATGGGATCCCATACAGGCACTGCTTCTAATTCTAGTGGCCCCACTTCTCATCTAGCTTTGTGCTTGTAACCTGGGAAAGCACTCACGGATGGCCCAAATCCTTGGGACCCTGCACCTGCATGGGAGACCTGGAAGAGGCTCCAGACTCCTGGCTTGAGATCAGCTAAGCTCTGGCCACTCAGGGAGTGAATCAGCAGATGAAAAATCTTCCCCCCTTTCTACTCCTCTCTGTATATCTGACCTTCCAATAAAAACAAATCTTTTTTAAAAAATAGAATAGGCTACGATGTTGGCACACTGATATAGTTAACACAAATTTGCCATTAACCAGTCCTAAAATGCCCACCAACTATTTACTGGCTGATTTTCTCCCAGCACTGTAATACTTGTCTAGGTACAAGGCAACCTAGACAGTTGCCTACTATTGGGGAGACATTATGTCATTTTACACATAAATATTTCAGCTTTAATCTCCTGTGAACAAAGATATTCTCTTATAACTATAATCTCAAAATCACATGAAATTTCACAGCAGTACAAGACTATTACTGAATATAAGTCTGTATTTGTATTTTCCATTTTTCTTAAAATGATCCTCCAGCTGTAGGCAACTGCTTAGATTGCTTTGTACCTAGGCAAGTGTTTCACTGTTCGGAGAAAAGCAGCCAATACCTGGCATGCAATCTGGGCCTGGTTAAATGCTATACCAGTGTGCCAACACAGTTGCCTATTCTGCTATATATTTTTAAATTTTATTTATTTAAAGATATGTGGGTAAGTGCGCAGTACAGTGCAGCAGAAGGTGGGGGCATGCCAGGCTGGGATATGCCACCCAGGACCCTAGGAATGTAGCATGCCACTGCGAATCTGGGGGGCTACAGGTTGCCCAGGAAATACTGAGGTCTCTAAGGCATCATCAAATAACTTTCCCTCATTCCGGGGTGCTGAGGTAGGTTTGACAGCAAGGAGCGGTCCCCTCCCCTTCCTTTCCTGTGGACACAGGAGAAAAAAAAAACCCAGAAACAGAAATATTTGTTCTATCCGCCTTCCTCCATACCTGCCCCTCCCACACATGGGCATGCATCCTTCTCAACTAAGTAAACAATATTAAAAGTAAAATTAAAAATTAACCCCCCCCCAAAAAAAATAGATTATCTGCAAAAGGGAGTGTGGGAATGCATTGAAGTGGAGGCTGAAGAGGGCAGAGAAGCGACTTCTGAGGACTTCCACGAACTGACCTGCTGCACTTGGAGGTAGGCCAGGGAGCTGAGGCAGGTGGTTTAGAGAGGAGGGAAAATGGAGGGTATGTTTGGGTCAAGCCAATGCATCCCTTCACATGGGATACCTAAGCAGGAATAAGTAGCACTGCTCACTGACCACGGGCACACTTAAAAGCTGGGGTTGGGGACCATACCTGGTTAAGCTAGGACATAGTACCCATCCACAAGTCAAGGAATGGGAGCAGGCCTGGTTGGGGAGCTAAGGGGACACCACAGCTGGTTGAGTTTCCCACTGGTAAGCATGAGAGCCAGATTGGGAGCAGTGATCTGGGTGGACATGACTGTAGTATATCTCAGCATGGGTGTGGACTGGGTTTCAGGTACACCAGACTGTGCTACACTTTAGTACTCATTAGTGCTCATGAGAGCCAGGGTGGGTATAAGACAGGCTGGTCTAGATCTTAGCACCTGCTTAACCATGTCTGGTGTTGGATCAGGCATGGCTAGGCTGTAGTACCCAACAGTAAGAACTGGAATGGGTGTGGGCTGGTCAGACAAGGCCGTTGTAATTGCCAAGACAGGAGGTGGACCAGTTGGGTCCAAGCATTCACCAGTCCGAGTGAGCTCTGCCACTGGGAGGTGACATGACAGAGGAGCCTGGGGAACTCCTCTGTCAGGACACAGTCCCTGCAGGTGAGCACAAGAATCAAGTCTAGGAGCAATCCAGACCAGGCCAGGTTACAGTATCCACCGGCATATATGTGGCAGATATATTGACGTGGCCAATTCATAATACCCACTGGCAGATTTGAGAACCAGGACAGGTGCAGGACAGGCAGGGTTGGGCCACAACACCAACCAGTTCATATTAGAGCCAGGACTGGGGGCAGTCCAGCCTGGACTAGGCTGCAGCATTCACCAGCATGAGTTGGAACTAGGGGCACACCAGGGCAGGCCAGGCTACAGCACCAGCTGGCAAATGTCAAGGTGAAGCAGGTCATGCCAGACTGGGCTGCAGCACCCACCAGCACATGTAAGACGTAGGGGTGGGAGCGAGCCCAGTAGGGAGGCAGCGAGGACTCGCCTGCTGAGCCACTGCTCCTGTTGGTTAGTGTGAGAACTGGACTGGGGGCAAATCAGGCTAGGCAAGGCTACAACACCCATTGGCCTGAATGTGAACTGGGTTAGAGAGAGAGCCAGGCTGGGCTAAGCAACCATATCCATTGGTACATGCATAAGCCAGAGTAAGTATAGGCTGGTTGGGCTTTGCCACAGCATCAGCTGGCAAGTATTGGGAATGGGGACAAGTCCTGTCAAGCTAGACTTCAGAACCACCTGGAAAGCGCAAGATCTGGAGCTGGGAGTAGACCTAGTAGGGAAACTGGGCACCTCTCTGACAGGCTGCAGCTCCCACCAGTGAGCATGAGAAGCATGAGAAGGGTGATGGACTGGGCTGGACAGGTGGTAACATGCACTAGCATTTGTGGGCTGGATAGTAGGGTCGGTTGGGTTGAGCTAAGCTGTAATACCATTGGCATGTACAGAAGTTGAATGGGATGTGGTACTTATCAAACCAGTCTGCTGCACATACTGGCATGCACAGGAACCAGGTCTGGAAATGGGCATGGTGGGGATCACTGGGGGTTCCCCCAGCTGGGCTGCAGTTCTCACTGGTGCATTAGCGCTCAATATATGGTGGGCATGGTTGACCTGGGCCATAGCAATTCATTAGTTTGCATAAGAGATGGAGCCCAGACAGAGGTTTGGGATCAGCATGGGGAAAAGCTTCCCCAGAGGAGCTCACGAGCAGTGCACTCATGACCTACTGCAGCCTCCAGAAAGGGACTCTCCTAGGGGATCCAGGGTGGCAGAGGGCAATTATGATTCTTCCTTAGGTCTGACAGCTACTCTGTTAACAACTGATTCTCAGAGATCTGGAACAAGGGTAGAGAGGTCCAACCTAGACAGGACTATTGCACTCTGAATTTACATCCTACTCAAGGCATGATGCCTAGAGAAGCTACAGATCTTGTTTCTCCAAATTTCATCTGTATCTGGAAGTATGTGGGAACATCATTCCCCTACCTCAGGATTCTGAGTGAAGTGCCTCCAGGAATATGTGCTTGCAAGAAAGTGGCCAAGAGCAAGTGGCCCAGGGACCCCACTTCAAAGAGACACTGGCCGAGATACTGCTCTGCATTTCACCAGTGAGATCAAGGAACAAGTAGTGACCTACTGAGTGAAAGAACAGTGTCAGCTTTTGCATGAAAGGTGCTGCAAAGCCTGAGCCCACGTGGAAATTACCTGTAAGGTATCAGCCACATAGAAATACGGGGATGATCAGAAAGTCTTCATGAGACACATTGTCATTGAGATCTTTTATCCCATCCAAGACAAGAAGCAGCATGAACCAAGGCAGCAAGGCCAACGGCCCCAGAACAGAACTCCCCACCAGGCTCTACTCCAGAGGAGCACCTAAGCACAGGACAAGCCCCTTGGAAGGGACTAATTCATCTGAGTAAAACACTGTTCCTGACCATTGAGGCCCCGCCTGCCTCTAGCTTCCCCTTAACACTGTGAGGGAGCAAGCTCCTGGAAATACCTTCTCTCTTCCACTGTGAACCCAAGCTCTGGGCAAGCTCAGGGCAAGCGCAGCATGGACACTGCAGCCCCAGAAACTGAGATAGTCATGGCACAGGAGCTGGAAGGAAGGCTCCTGCTAACAGGAACACCTGCAGCTTCAGGGCACAGTGACTGATCCCTTTCCACTATGGCCCAGGCAGCTTTCACTCGGGCTCCACCAGGTGGAGGACCACACTCAAGGGAGAAGCAGGGTATGGTACTCCTAGGAAAGGTCATTCCTCAGACAACAAACTATAACTGCAAGGTCCCAAAGCCAAACGGGCTCATGGCAAAAGGACCAGCACACAAGGCAGCTTCTGAGCTTACCTGACTGGAACACGTATCGGGCCAGCCCCTGCATTAGCTCTGCTGGCCACGTTGGTGGGGCAGACTCCCCTGTTTCTCTCTTCAGACGAAATGTTAACTCAAAGCCAAAACCGCTAGGTCCATCTGTTCCTGTAAACCTGAAAGGTATCAAAAGAAAATGTTTTAAATTCAACTGAAAGCCTAACCAATGTTCCCTAGGTTTTTGGTTTGGTTTGTTTTTTGGTCATCTCGACATCAAAACCTATTCAGAGAAATTTCTCCATGTCTGAACCTTTTGGAAGGGAAGGATCTTGAAAGCCTGTAAAGAACCAAGACTTGCTCCTTGCTCTCTTGTCAGCTGAGGGCCTAAGAGTTTGGCCTGACCAATCCAATTCTATTAGTGCTTTGAATGATGAGTTCCAGATTTTGTGATTCTAGAACATTCCTTTTTGAAAAATGAGGTACCACTACCAAAAATCTTCCTGAATTTTGCCCCTTATTCCTTGAAGCTGTTTGAAGTGCCTACTGGGTTTGCACCTCCACATCCTATGAGTTACCAACAAGACTGTGTGTTCTGTGAGGACCCTGCCACACTAAAGTACGATTTTGGGGCTGGACTGGTTGGCCTCTAAACTCAGCATTTACAGACAGTTTCCAAGTTCAGTGCCAAACACTGGTATGTACTTGCACCCATATCTGTCCTCAAACACAGCACCTCCCAAGCACTCATCATGCATGTACTGGTTCCAGAACCAGACACTCCAGGTGCACTCAATCACTGTAGCCTGGAAGGAAGTGTGGTGTGCTTGCCCCAGAATGGTGGCCACAACTTAACAGAGTGACAATGAGACCAGGGCAGAATGCCTGCTTCCCCATCTGCTTGAAAACACTCAAGGACCCTGCATCTCAGGAAGTCTCTGACATGGACTTCTGCCAGGGGAGGCAGGGCCTGGGTGATGAGGGAAGTGTCTAGGGAAGAGATCCTGAGAGCATGGGAAGAGTTAAGAGTTAAAACATGCTCATGACATAATTTTCAGCAATTATATCTTATACAAACATGAGCCACAAAAATTATACACATGTAAACTTGTCAGCATACAAACACAAACCATAAGCTAAACTGACAGCCAGCAGCACCTCCTTGCTAGGACTGGCGTTCAGGGGGAAGAATTCTCAAGGGCTAATGAAGTAGTAATACCTGATCCTGGAATTCCACGAGGGCATCTTCCCTTCATCATCATCACCCTCAGAGGCCAAGGCACTGGATAGGGATTTCAAAGTTTCAGGGGCTGACGTCAGTCTTAGTCTAGACTTTGTATGCCTGGTTGAACCCAATCCCTCTATCTTTCACAGGGGGGAAATTACTTCTGAGAAGCTAAGTTCTACAACGAAGCAGAAAAGGCATCCTTAGAAATTATCCTCATCAGACCCAGGCACATTTACAGGACATGTCCATGTTTGCAGCTTCTCCAGGAATCTAGTCATGTGGAACACAGTACCTTGTGAGGGTACACATGGAAGGGCAAGCTTGGAGGGACACAGCATAATCCATTTTCTTCTAGAATTTCCCTGTTCAGGGTTGGGCCAGTCCAGGGAGGTAAAGGGACCAGCTATGCAACCCGAGGAAGGAAGAGCTGCCTCCTGGGGCTGCAGATTTGGGGCGGAAACGCGGGGGTAAAAATTAAAAACTCTGCAAAAGGATATGGGTAACCAGGGCAGAAGGAAGATTTCAAGCAGCTGCCAATTAGAGACAGCTTTGTAAAATGTATTAGGCCATTATTACAGGACTTTCATCCTAGGCCAAGAAAAATACACAATTTCTAACCACAAAAACTTGAGGAATGGACTAAAAGGAACCCCTTCCTCATGTGCTGTACAATGGGGAGAACCCCCAGAGGCAGATAAATCATTGAGTCATATGCATCTAGACAGCTCAGCTCACTAAGAACTGTGGGGACACACACTGTGGGTGTACATGCACGCACCTGCATGTATATACCATCTGCTTCTATGTGCCAGGCTTCTGGGTCAGCTCTGTGGTAGGCAAGCCAACTCTCTCCAGGTGAAGGGGAGGGACAGGCCTAGCCAGATGGTCTCCACCTGCATTTGATTACCACCCACCAGGCTGGCTGGACACAGCTTCCAAACCCTGAACATGAGTTTGGAATGGCCTAGCCTCAGGATAAACACACAACCTGGAGCCTGTCAGAAAAATTCTACTTCAAAGCACGCTACCCAGGCAACAGGCAATTGACAAGGTCATTCCATCTTTAAAGTCTCCTGGAGGGGTCTGGCTTAGACTGAACTAGCTCACGCAAGGGTTTCTCCAGCCAGAGTGGTTTTGTCTGGACGAAGAACGAAGCCCCATGGCGGGAGCAGCTGTCTCTCTAGTTTCAAGAATGGAAGGCGCAAGAGGGAGCTGGCATGTGCTGCAGAAGGTGGATCTAGGTCAGAGGAAAAAATTTTCTGACACAGGAGGCTGCTTAAATACTGGCTGGCGGTCAGTGGGCCAACAGAATTTCTCCCTACAGTGCTTTTTAGAGGAATAGATACTCTCCCCAGTCTGGCAGGGTGGGGGTGAGGGAGTCCAACTGTCTTGTTACAGAAGGATGGATGAGATGAACTCTAAAGATAATTTCCAGTTTAAGAGCCCCTACGCCTGCTCACTGAGGTGTCCAAAGGGGAGGCTGGCTTTGTCCCAGGAGTTTGGCAGGCTGACACAACGGCTGTGCCGGCCTTGATAGCAACATCAAAGCTTCCAACAGAATAGTGTGCACCTGAATCTCAGACACACCTGCCTGACCATTGGAACCTGCCCAGAAGTCACAGGGCATCAATCAGCCTCCAGTATACAAAATGACCACAAATACCCAGGCAGAAGAATACAAACCTGGAGGAGACTTTCAGAGGATGGGGGAGTTCATACAGCTGGAACACAGAAGTGCCTAAAAGTGGCATCCCATGCCCAACATGACTAGCTACTAAGATGCAAATCAAAACTACAGTGCAGAGCAGGCACTTGGGGAAGCAGTAAGGATGGCAACTTGGAAAGTCTACATCCCACATCAAGCAGCCTAGTTCAAGTCTGAGCTCTGCCCCAATTCCAGCTTCCTGCTAATGAACACCCCAGGAGGCAGCAGGGATGCTTCAATTAATTGGATTCCTGTTACCCTTAGCGGGGAACCTTGATTGAGTTCCCAGCTTTGCCCCTAATCATTGCTGAATTTGGGGTGTGAACCTGCAGATGGGAGTTCTCTCTCCATGCATCTCACACATGAAACACCACCACAGCAAGAAGCCACTATACACCTTCTAGGACAGCTAGAGAAGACAGACAATAACAAGCACTGATGATGATGAACTTAGAATGCCGGCATGCTGTTGGGAATACAAAACAAAGTGCAATGGTTATCACACAACTCAGAAACTTCACTCCCAGCTATGTATTCAAAGAACTAAAAACATCATCACACAAAAACTTGCCCACAGCAGCGTTACTCATGATAGTAGCTAAAAAATGGGAACAACCCAAGTGTCCATCAACTGAGAAATGAAAAAACAAAATATGATGTATTTGTACAGGAAATGTTGGACAGTAAGAGAAATGGTACATTTATACCTGCTATACAAGGATGGCCCTGAACACATAATGCTCAGTGAAAGATAGCAAAGAGCACATGTTGTACGATTCAATTTATGTAAGCATCCACAGGAAAAATTCACAGAGACAGAAAGCGAATCAGCACATAGCACAGGTGGCAGAGAAGGGAGGGAGAAGTAATTGTTCATAAGTACAGGATTTTCTTTTTAGGGTGATTGAGACGTCCTGGAATTAGAACATTGTAATGGTTTCACAATCATACTAAAAAACCACTGAATTATACACATTAATTACATAAATTTCATAGAAAAATATATGCATATAAAAATATATATCTGTATATATATGCATATATAAAATATGTATCTGTATATATAATGTTTTTAAATTTTAAGCTGGCATCTCACATCAATACTTAAGAAGGCAGGCTCATCCATGCCAAAAAATCCAGGTCATGATCTGGCTACCTATTAATAAACACTATAATGTACAAGACTGAGGACCTGGGCAAAGTGGTTTTCCAATGTTACAGCATTCAACTTCAAACAATCCTATAATTCAGCCACTGTATTACACATTACTTAAGCAATATACAGAAAACACAGAGGGAGCTTAAATGATGCCCCACATCACACAGCAAGCAGGTTACAGAGCTTTGACCTGAGGTCTATCTGATTTCAAAGCCCATTTTTTTCATGGCTGTTTAGGGTGACTGAGATGTCCTGGAATTAGAACACTATAATGGTTTCATTTAACCTCGCTGCGCCTGGGATTTCTCATGAACAAAATGTGAATATAAAAGTAAAAGATAACTATGTTGCAGAGTTACTAGAATTAGACGTTTAGAAACAGTGCTTAGAATACAGAAAGCATCATATACTCTATTTTCAGTCAATGAAAGAAGCCAGTCACAAAAGACTACACATTTCATGGTTGCAGTAATGGAATAAATACCATAATATCTTATATCAATCACATGCATATGATATCACAAGGTCGAAATAGACAAATCTATAAAGAGAGAAAGTAGATTAATGGTTGCCTAGGGTGAATGCAGAGTGTCTACCAATGGGAATGGAGTTTCTTTTTTAGGATAACAGAAATATTCTGCAATTAGATTATGGTAATGGTTATATACACTGAATATACTTTTAAAGAGTATGAAGCTTACACTTCATTTTAATTTTTTTTATACTTTTTATCTGAGAGGCAGAGAGAGTTCCCATCTGCTAGTTCATTCCCCACTTCCCCACAACAGCCAGGCTTAGGCCGAGAGCCAAATCAAACCAGGAGCCAACAACCCAATCCAGATCTCCCACATGGGTGGCAAGAACCCAAAACTACATGAGCCATCATTGGTGTTCCCAGGGTATGCATTAGCAGGAAGTTAGTGTGAGGAGCTTGGGCCAGAAATCAGACCCAAGGACTCCAAAGGAAGATACAGGTGCCTTTTCCTTTTTTTTTTTTTTTCTCTCAGATTTATTTATTATTACTTAAAAGGCAAATTTATAGAAAGTTCATCCAGAGCTTCCAAAAATCTCCCAGCACTCTCAAACC